CTACAGAGACATAATACATGGTAGTTTTAGAGGCTGTAAAGGAAGCAATTTGGCTTAACGGGTTGATGGAAGACTTGGGAGTTGTTCAAAGTCATATTAGTCTCTATTGTGACAGTCAGAGCGCTATTCACTTAGCGAAAAATCAAGTCTGCCATTCAAGGACTAAGCATATCGACGTGAGGTATCACTTTGTGCGGGAGATCTTTGAAGAATGAAAGATTCTACTTCAGAAAATTGCGATATCAGAAAATCCTGCAGATATGATGACCAAGGTGGTAACAGTAATCAAGTTCAATCATTGTTTGAACTTGATTAACATCCTGAAAGTATGAACACATTCGGGTGTGTGGCGCTTGTGAGTGCAATTAGAGGCACTACAAATTTGGGGAGTTGAAGAAGTTGAGTAGGCTTGGTAATTTCAAGCCAAGGTGGAGATTTGTTAGATTTGTCTAGAAATTAAGTTGACAAGTTGGAAATTTCATCTTGGTTGGTGCCCAACTTATTGGAAATTTCATCTTGGTTGGTGGCTAAACTTTGAACATGTGAATTTCATATTTGGTGGCTAACTTGTACACATTGGAAAATTCTTTGGTAGGTGGCCAAATTTTGAACATATTGTTCTTGAAACTCAACTATAAATAGGCCTAAGTATTTCCATTAGAAATCATCCCAAAAACAAGTTCTCTCTTCCTCTTGTATTTTTCATTCTCCCACTTTGAGAATTCCAAAGAATTCCATTTTGTAATATTGGCGATATAGAAGTTATCATCCGGTGTGGTGTCCGAAGTAGACGATATTCTCGTCGAACCTCATAAATTTGGTGTGTTCTCTCCTTTATTGTTTTTTATTCGGTTCTTTTCCATTGTGTTTCAATATTCAATAGTTTGACAGGTTTATTCGCTGTGCAACCTTTGGTGGTTTTAATCTTGACATTTTAGGTCAATTTTAAAACTACGTTCGTGTGAGAAATAACCCGTTTTCCCCAACAACCTGGACTGAGTGTCTTCCTTTTTCCCCTCGCCTTCCAATCATCGACCCACCCGTCAACTATTACGACGTCTTTATCCTACAAATTGTCAGTGTGCCTTCGAATCTTCGTTTGCCATCTTTCAGAGGCAAAACGAAGTATTTGGACAATGTGGAGTTCCCCACATATATTCTAAAATGTAAAATTTGAATATCTGCCACTAATCATCTGTATTCAACAAAAATACTTTATATATTCATTTATTTTTAAACACCAACGATCCGACAACAATCTCCTTTTGAACTAAATGTGTGTCCACTCTATTTTTCCTAAACAAATTATATTATTCGTCATAAAACTATAATCCTATTTTTATTTTGATCACTAGATAAAAAAGTTTGATTAAAGCATGAACGTTTGAAAAAATTATTAATCAAATCATCGATCGTTATATTGATAACTATGACGAGGAGCCTCGTTTCTATTCGTATAATAACAAAATACATGAAGGAAATGATGTTGATTTAAACATCTTTACCCAATTATTTCTTATAGAAAAGTTTCTATTTCTTTAAGCAAGAGGTATTTTCCCTCAAACTTGGAAGCAAGCTTGAACAAACTTCATTCCAAGTTTACCAGACTTTAAAAAAAATAGAACAACTTTTAACAGAAAATGCCATTTTTCAAGTAGGACCAACATCACAACTTACAACAATTCAACTTTGAAATTAATCTAACCAACGGCCAGATTTTAAAACATCTGAGCACAAAGAATGACCCTGTACAATAATGCTTAGCTTTACATAGTTTAGTGGAGGAACGAATCTCGGTTACATTTGGAAGATGTTTAGATGTGATATATATATGTTACACAAGGTTTGTGATTGATGATGTCAAGACATAAGGAACATTGGCAAGAGGCCCTCTTTGGAAGGCAAGCTGATGGATATCCTTTATGGTATTGAATACTGCCTCTGATTGTGCTAGTTTTAGAGCATTCTCCGACACCTCTTCAGCTCATCTGTTCTTGTGCTGAACCATCAGGCCACGATTCTAGCCGTTGCCTTCGGACTCCGGGTGAAAACCCCGGCTCCGTTGTCGACGACATATGGTACATTTCCCTTTTCCTGCAACCACCAAAACAATAAGCCATTGAAGCCAACTCAAAAAGAATGCGGTCAAAAGTTGTGTTATTGAACCTGTCCTGGAATGTAGTCGTTGAGAACAATAGTAAGCCCCCTGATCAAAGCCTCTGCAATGGTGCCTGGACCGGCCTGTAATTCAAGAAGATAAGATCAATCTATGCATGTAGGTGGAGTTTAAATTGAAATTTCATGAACCTACTTTTGTAATTATGCAATCACAAGCTCCCATCCATTTCTCCATCTGAGTCTCAAAACCTCTTACCTATAGTGTCAAAGAGTACAACTTATGTTACTCGGAGACGAGGGTATGTATCCGGCACAGTAAGTCGAATCAAGACGAAATTACCTTCACCGGGATCTTCCATTCCTCTGTTTCCAATGTAGAGGCATGGCCTTTGTTTCGGCCACATATGATGATTAATTGTCCTATAGGTTTCTTTTGAACTCTATCATACAATGATTTGCCAAGAGCTTTTGCTGTTTCCTTAACAGGACCCATTCCTTTACCCCTCCCATTAGCAGCACAACAGGCAAATCTGGATCCATCTCGAGCTCTTTTCTCAAGTCATCCTACAAAAACCAGAAAACCCCATCAAATCAAACCAGTCAAATAGATGATATATCAAGTATTGTATGCTGCTAGGATCACTCACCTTGGAAAGAACAGCTCGTGCAAAAGAGGGCCGAATTGGCAGACCGAAAACCTGAACCTGTGACTCTTAAAGCCCATCACACAGTGCTCTCTTAGAGGGCAGTAACATCTATCAACCCCAGGATGAAACCTAACCATTGATTCCAATTTGTTTAACATATCGATAAGGATTTGCTATTAAAGAACTCAAAAAGGTCTTTGTTTGTCAAAATTACCATGTGGGATGGCAGGAGTTTAGGTCTGTTTACAGTGACAAAAACTACTTTCTTTTGAAGGCCTTGCATTTAAGAACCCAGAGAGGAATGTGTTGCATTAATGGGATGAACACTAATGATAATGTCTGGCTTGTACTCCATTAGGCCAGCTCTACTTCCCTTCAATTAACAAAATAAGAGTCAGTAATATTGACCTAACATGGATTCTTTCAATTGAGCTATAGATGGAAATGATTACTTGGCATAATAAGCAGAAATGGCAGCAAGATAGAACTATGTACCCATCTAGGAGAGGTACTGTGAAAGGCAACTTTCCAGAGTTGTACATGTTTCACCATGAACTTGTAGGACCTCTCCATGTCATTCAATGGGCACCCTGTGTATTCTTTCCAAACATCTTTCACAAAAATCTGAAGAAAAAAAACATTCATCACCAAAGAAATAGAGACAAAAAAAACAAACGATTTGCAGGCAAGGAAAGTACCTGGTAATCATCGCCGAATTCAATGCGAAAAGCGTCCCTGATGGCCTCGGCCGAAGCTCGATGGCCGCCGCCGGTGTCACTCATGAGAATTAACACGTTTTTTGTTCTTTCAGCACCCATTTGCATCAACGGCACGGTGCCGAACCCGTCATAATCCTCGAATTCATCGTCATTCTCGTAAGAACACCGCCTCAGGTGGCTTATGCTGCCGCTCGAAGACTTCCCGTAAACAGTCTGCCATACTTTCTCTGTTATCGAAGCAACCTTGTTGGACGATGAAGATACATTCGTCATCGTCGCCATGGTAACTCGAAAGATAACAAGAAAGTACAAGGACCGAAAAACGGGGCGGTCAATGGATTTTTTTTTACAAGGAAAATCTGGTGGCAGTTGAAGGTTTTAATGGCGGTGGTTTATGAGTTGGCAAAACGTGGAAGTATTAATAAAGGGGAAATTCTAAGAAAAGGTAATTAATTTAAGGTGGAAATTACTCTAAGTGTATTAATCACTAATCAGGTGTTAAGACAATTATTGGTTAAAATTTTGAGGTATCTTCCATGTTTGATCATTTGGCATGTGAGGTTCTAAGATTAATTTGTAATCGTTAGATGGATAATTTGTTTATGAATATTTGAATTTTATCAAATATTATCTTGTAATTATCAAAGAATAAATTTTCATTATGTTCCTATTCCATGCTTTCTAAAAATAACTTTTGATTTGAAAGTTTATTTAGTTATATTGGTTTTGTTTAATAATTAGAAATAAAATTGATTTTATATTTCAATAATTATAAAATTAATTTATCTAGTAAGATTTATTTTAATAATTTGTATTAATGGCCACATGTGAAATAGAAAAGAAAAGAGAAAATAAAAATAAAAATTTATAAATTGGATATAGATATATGGAAAAAAATAGATAATAAGATCTTCAACATCTTATAGACATAACGATTTGAGTTTATTGTCAATTTAGGAAGTGTGTCAAGTTATACATACATTGCTTGACTTTAAATGTTGGAGTAAAAATATGATTAACAATTATCATTACGATTTATCATGAAAAGCACAATCCTTTAAAAGAAAACCGACCACAGTGGGAGTCGAACCCACGACCTTTTGATCCGAAGTCAAACGCGCTAATCCACTGCGCTATGCGGTCATCACATTTAACAGATTCAAGTGTTTTATAATTAATAATAAATATGCACCCATATTCTTTAATTAACCATGCTTATTCGATCAGTTTGATTAATTTAAGGTTTATGCCGGGTGAACATTGCAAAGATTATGCCAAAAAAGTTTTAAAATATACCTAAAGCAAATGGCCACTTAATAAAATCTATACCGTTGCTCTATGCTTACCAAGGTCCAAGTAAATAGGGTACAGGATGAGCATTTTCAAGCTCTAATAGCTGCCAACTGGCTGTAACATTAGCAATACATTTGCGCATGGTTTAAAGATCCTAATCTGTAAACTTCAGCTTAGAATATGCCTTAAATTACGTAAATATTTCTACAATCACTTCTTTTCACTAGAAGAATCAACTTAGTGATGGTGAAGCTGAACATAACGGACACCGTGGGTCGTGCCTCTCCTCGAAGCTTGTTCTCCCTTCCAAACAATCTGTATGGTATACGTGGCCACAAACTAGAACTGCCACAGCAGAAAATTCTCCGGAAGCTGGCATATTTCCCAGAAAATAAGGTTTCCTTCTTAAATGCTTTTGACATACGCTACAAACCGCCTTCACCGTGTCCGGTGATACTGCATCCATCACCAATGTACTAGACCTAATTCTTTCTGGCCTGCTAAAGCCAAATGCTTTTTCCCTACCATCTGCAAAAAATTCGTGAACTGAAGTCAATGGCTGAGGCCGAATAAAAAAAGAATGAGCATGACTCAGTTTGAAGGTTAAATAATAATCCAATTCTTTAATTTTATGAATAAACACGAGTTCCTAAAATCTGCTGAGAGTTTCCTGATGTAATGATCTAGATGAGATAAAAACGATTTTCCCGATGCTAATATGCATGTTAATATTGTAGGGGTGAAACAAAGATACATACATCCTGCACAGTGTCCTGACTCGGGTTTGTATTGAGCAAACTTGAAGGATAATCTCTCATCATGTAAAGGACTAAAGAGCCACGTGAAGTTGATGGATTTGAAAGGCTGCTGGAGTTTCTGCGCGAGTAGTGATGACCATAGTAATGGCGTGACCTTTTTAATAATACCGAATGCCCAAGATCGTAATGGTGATGAGCAACAGAAGTGTTGGAATTAAGTAGCTTCACAGAACTATCTCCAACATCAATGCCAGCATCCAAATTCATCAAATGCTATAAAAGAAAGCAAGGAGGGGCAGAAATCAATGAAAAAATACAGACTATTCAATTGACAAATAGATGAACTGAAGCATAAAAAAAGATATCTCAGAACTATAAATTAAAAAACAAAGAAAAAACACCGGAGAAATAATGGTTTTCATAAATGAACGAGGAAAAGTGCAAAACCTCCTTGGGTAATAATGCTGTCCCCGACAAGCACGACTTCTCCTCTGCAATATGCAATAAATGGTACGATGATTATTCACACTTGATAGTTTACATTTAAATAAGGGAGAACACTTGGCTATTTTAGATTATTAAGCTGAAAATAAGTCAAATCTAGCCAATGTTGCTTTGACTTTTCAAATTCTTAAGTAACTATATCCGACATATTCTTGGACACGGATATGATCCTTTAAGTACCTCTCAAATATATGAAAAACATAGAAAAAATTGAACACACTTGTGTCGGATGCATGCACTTACCCAACACTCGCACCTGAGTTTGAGTAACATAACATCTAACCACATCAAGGTAACAGAACTCCGTTAAACCAAAAATAAGGATAAGTACATAAAAGAATGTAAACGAGTGATACCAACAAATGGTACACTTCAAAGACAAGTAAGAAGGAGACAGAAAAAGAAAAAATTATTGCAGTTTCCTTATAAACAGGTGAGGTGATCAACTAAATATCCAAGGCCTAAAGGTTGAAGAAAATCAAATCAAGGCTCACTTGGCAATGATAGAATTTGGTGAACCTTTAAGGAGGATGTTCAAGCACAATAGTTTGATACATTCAACAGTCTTAAGTTTCATAACGGTAAGCAGGCCGATATGATCTAATTGCAATATGGTACAGTCATGAAACAAAATGGCAAAGAAACAAAACTCAGCTGAAAACCCATAAATTTACAAAATAATCCATCTACTGAAGAGAAAAAAAAACATCAATAGCAAGCATTCGCATTACATTAACATACAATAGTAGCTTCAGTTTTCCATTCAAGAAATCGAAACAAAGAAGCATGGAATTTTAAGTACTCCACTTGTGAACAAAATGACCAAGATTAAATAAAGAGATTTATAAAAAAAAAATTGTAACAAACCTGAAAACCCCATTTCCATCTATTGAACTGAAAACAAATTAAAGAAACTAAAATAAAAAGAGGGGATTTTACTTATTTTCTCAATAATCATAGCACTGAATTCTTACAAAATCGACCGATATTATTCATTTATTATCTCTTCCACACACAAAAATGGTTTGTTGAAACAATATAAATAGGGAAATAGAATCATACCCAAAGAAGAAGGAAAGTCAAGATTATCGAGTGGGGAACTTCTCTTCTTCTTTCCCATTGTAATGAATAGAAACGAGGGAAAAAAACAAAATACAGTAAATTATCCAAAATTAAAAGACAAAAGAGTTTCTCTTTTGGAGAGCAACATTCAATGACTAAGAAAACAATAACCCCAAAATTTTAATTTCTGTAGGTATTTCTATTCTTTTTTTTTTCAGATAATAGTAAAAAAAAAGGAACTGTAACATGAGTGTGATTCCTAGATTAAAGAGAAGAGCACACACAGAGAGCAATTTAGGAATTTCCTTTAGCTCGCAGGTGAAAGTAGAAATGTAAGTGCAACTATGCAAGACTGAGAAGACATCGGGTTTCCATTTTTACCCGTCCGATAGGTGCCCATTGCCATTGGACTTTGGGTAAATACGGCCCAAATATCGTATAGGACACAAAATATTTACTGTAATTTATTTCTTCTCGATGTCGGATGTTACACGATGATTCAATAAAATATTTAATGATGATAAGAAATTGAATCGTAGAGTCAAAGAATCTTGAAAATGGAATGATGTATTGATAAACTAAAAGATCAATATAAATATCTCTGTTTGAAAATCGGATCGGACGATCGATTCAATCGGTTTAATCGAGAATCGTTGTTTGTCGATTCAATCTAAACCGGTTGAATCTATTAGTGAACCGGCCAGAACTGTTGAACCATTCGAACCGGACCGGCTAAAAATCGAAAAACCGGGAAAATGGGATTTTTTTTTAAAAAAAAATTAAACCAACGTCGTTTGTTAAACTAGCCAAGTCGAACTCGAGTATTGCTGAGCTCGACTCGAACTTGAAAACTTTAAAAGTAAGCTCAACTCAACTCAAATTCACAAGCTAAAAATTATCAAGTTCAACTCAAACTCAAAATATAATATTGAAACTTGAACTCAAAAAGGCTTGAACTCAAAAAAAAATTAGAAGCTCGATTGAAGCCTAAAATTCGAGCTTGATTAAGTGAAAGAATAGTTCACTCAATGCTCACCAAAAGACTCATGATTTTGAATGTCAAATTACCTCTATTATTTATAGAAGTTAATTGTGATGTGCTTCTATGTTTCTTAGTAATGTGATATTGTTTTGTTCTCATATTTTTATTCTTTAGACTTTTGGGATGCTCTTCTATGTTTCTTAGCCATGTGGGATTGTTTTTTAAAAAAAAAATTAAACCAAACAATATCATTTTGTTATGCTTTTTTTAACCTCAAATTTATTTTTTAATTATAGTTATATAATTATATTTATTATTTAATATGATTTACCTTAAATATTATGTTGTAGTTAATTTGAATCATTTTGTTTTACTTAATTTTATGGTTTTTAACTTATATATGTTATGACTTGCTTTGAATATGACTTGTGATATAAAAAATTATTTTTTATTAAATATTTTTGGTATTTTTATTTAATTTTTTAAATAATTATGACGTGTCTGGTTCTTTCGACCGGTCGGATAGATTCGACCGGTTGAACCAATAAACCGATAGCATGACTGGTTCGCTAACGGATCCGGTTCTGAAAACCATTATAAATATATAAGGTATTGAATCCACACCATTACTCTTTAAAGGTAATTCTCAAGCAACACTTAAATGACTTTTTCCATATTAAAAAACATTAATTTATTCATATAATTTTATAGTTTTTTTTAAATTATATTTTTATGATGTTATTTCACTCTTACCAAAAAAATTGATTTAGTGAAATGAATATTTGTTTAAAAGGTTCTTAATTATTTAATAGAAATATTTAAATATATTTATTGACGTCATGCTTAAATCCAAAATGTTAAAGATTAACAATTATTCATGAACTATTGAGATCACTTCATATGTTAATACAGTTAAAATAAGTAAAGTTTATATGTTTTTTGATGAATAATATTCTTTTATCCGTTTAATTTCATTCATATTTAAGATAGGCATAATTTTTACTATATTTTTATTTCTTAAACACATAAAATACAATTTTATTAAAATCTTCAATAAGAAGAAATAAATTTAATAATTGTTATAAAAAAATCTCAAATCTCTAACTAAATTTGTAATAACTCATTTACATAGTTCTTTTTAAAGACAATGTTACTACTTATTTGTGTGATCCTTAATATAAGCAAACCTTCTTTTTTGTGATTCTATATATGAGCAAACATATTACTCACGTGAACCTTCAAAGATGTGAATGTAAGATACATGCAAACTTTCATATATACGTAACGCACCCCATAAACAATTATGTGTCGATCGCTTATTATCATGTGAATATATATATGTAACATCATCATTGGTCACATGTTGACACCCTTGATCTCTTAGTCTAAACCCTCAACCTTTATGACATCTATTCGATATCAACGACATGATAACTCCTAAATATCTCATATCAAAGGCCTTATAAATATTCCTTTCATGAAGAGCAAGAGACATATCCACAAAACCACCATCTCTAAAGGCAACTAGAATCATCACCAAAATTATTATCTTATAACTTTTTATTTAGTGGCATAACTTGATGATAGAGTTTAGAGGATGAACTTAAAAAAATTAAAAATAGAGGTTAAAATTAATTTTTTTGAAGGGTTCTATTAAACAATCTTTCAAAAAAAAAAGATATAACTAAAAATTTTAAATTTTTGAGAGACTTAATGAGAATTTTTTAAAATTATGGGAAGAATTTAATTAAAAACATTCAAAAAATTTAAAAATTAATATGAATTTCAAAAAATTATGTGAGACCAAATTATATATTTTAAAAGTTTTAAAAGTTTAAATCATAAATTTTTAATTTTTTTAGGGGGCATGTCTCTCTCTAGTCTACGTTTTCTTCTTTATTCTCCATCACTCAACAGATAATAGTTAACTGAATAAACTTATTTTGCTCTGTTTCACGTCAGAAAGCACCAACCGACTCATCACCAATCCATCATGTCCATAATCAACAACAAAAGGTTACAGAAAAATGGGGACATTTGATGCATTTTACTTTCCCTCGTTTTTGTTTTAAATTAATATTATTAATCAAATTCATTTTTTTTCATGCATTTTCTATTTTTCTATTATTGGTGATAAGTAATGTCCAAATTTAGGTGGAACTTAAATTAATCGACGACCTTGGAAAATTAAATATTATCAACTTCACCCATTTGCAATTTGCAATTTTATAAACTTTATTTAATGTTGTGATATAAATAAAATAATATTTTGAGAGTATCGACTAATGTTGAATATCATGCAATAAAGTTATATATATTTTTATATACATGAAAATATAATTAATACATTCGACTATAAAATAATATTTTAATAGGAAAAAAATCCTATGTTTAATGTGGATATGGTGCTTCCCAGAATTTTTGGAGAAAAAAGCATCCTTTTTTATGTAATAAATTCTATTTTTATATAAAATAATAAAATAAAAAAGACAATTGTCATTTTCACAGTTTAATGTCTCCCACCATATTCGTCCCGCTTTCCCAACTCAAACAGATATGCTTATCTTACAATAATAAGACAAATCTTTGTTTTCACGCTTTCTTTTTTAATTTACACTGCAAGCTTTTCTGTATATAATCCCTCATTCGGTTCTCGTTTTCCTCACTGGCAAAGTCTGTTCTTTCTCGTTACTCGTAGCTTGCATTTCGCTTCGTTAATATGGCTATGGGAGCTTGGATTTTGCCAGATCTTGGAGTCCAGATCCTAATCCCGGTTTGCGCGGTGATTGGGATTGCCTTTTCTCTAGTACAATGGGTGCTAGTTTCCAGGGTGAAGCTTTCTCCGAGTCCAGAGTCGGTCAACAACGGTTCGGCTGCGAAAAACGGGTACTCCGATTACCTCATTGAAGAAGAAGAAGGTCTCAATGACCACGGCGTTGTTCTTAAATGTGCTGAAATTCAAAACGCCATCTCTGAAGGTTGTTGCTCTTTTCACTTTTTTCTTAAAGTCTTCTCTGATCTATGTTCTTTGAAAATGGTATATTTAGCTTCTTTTTTCCCTTAAGAAATGAATTTGATGTTGGATTTTCATGAGCTTTTTTGGGCGTCTGAGTTACTTAACCGAAGTGTTTTTTTATTTAGAAAAGGAGATTTGTTGTTGTTCTTGTGATACATTTTGGTTTTTACGTTCTTAAAGTTTAGATCTTTTGTTTCTCATTTTATCAAAAGAATGTTTAGTTGGTGGAGTTTTTGGTTTGTCGGCACTCCGTTTCTTCATGTTTTCCTATGTTAAAGTATTACTATTGTAAAAATAAATAAATTGTCGGTTATTTATCTTAAATGAATTGATGCTTCCTGGATTGGATTGTTATTGTTTCTATATACCATTTTAGTTAACGTGAACCTGAACCTGAATTAGATATTCTAGTCTTACTTTATATGGGGCCTGAATTAAGTTTACAGTGGTCAAGCTCTTCAATTTGTTTACTCTGAAAGACTTTCCGAGTTACCTAATTTTGGATTTGAGTTTACAGGGGCAACCTCGTTTCTTTTCACCGAGTACCAGTATGTTGGCATTTTCATGGTTGCTTTTGCAATCTTGATTTTCCTTTTCCTTGGCTCGGTTGAGGGTTTCAGTTCAAAAGCCAGCCTTGCACGTATGACAAATCAAAGATTTGCAAGCCTGCTCTTGCCACTGCTGCATTCAGCACCATATCTTTCTTGCTCGGTGCCGTCACTTCAGTTGTTTCTGGATTTCTTGGGATGAAAATTGCTACCTATGCAAATGCTAGAACCACCCTTGAGGCAAGAAAGGGAGTTGGAAAGGCATTTATAACTGCGTTTAGATCTGGTGCTGTCATGGGCTTTCTTCTTGCTGCAAATGGCCTTTATGTGCTTTACATTACCATCAACTTGTTCAAGCTCTATTACGGTGATGACTGGAGTGGTCTTTTTGAGGCAATCACTGGTTATGGGCTCGGAGGTTCATCCATGGCTCTTTTTGGCAGAGTTGGTGGAGGAATCCACACCAAAGCTGCTGATGTGGGTGCTGATCTTGTGGGCAAGGTGGAACGGACATTCCCGAGGATGACCCTAGAAACCCTGCTGTAAGTAATATCTGTGAAAATGTTCTAGCATCCTGAAATTGGAAAAGTGAGTGTTAGTGTTTCCTTTTGGATTGTCACCGAATTGTTTCCATGTTTTCAGGTAATCGCTGATAACGTTGGGGATAATGTTGGTGATATAGCTGGAATGGGATTTGATCTTTTCGGGTCCTATGCCGAATCATCTTGTGCTGCACTTGTTGTTGCTTAAATATCTTCTTTTGGCATCAATCATGAATTGACTCCAATGTTATATCCTTCATCATCAGTTCTGTAGGTATTGTTGTTTGTTTGATCACAACATTATTCGCAACTGATTTATTTGAGATCAAGGCTGTAAAGGAAATTGAGCCAGCATTGAAGAGGCAACTCATCATCTCCACCATTCTCATGACCATTGGAATTGGGATTGTTAGTTGGGTAGCTCTTCCATCTTCCTTCACCATTTTCAATTTTGGAGACCAGAAAGCTGTGAAGAATTGGTAAGCCCTTTCTTTCATAAAAAAAATTTCAAAAGTTTTGCTCGACTAGAATGAGTGTGTAACAATGAGTTTCTTCTGCAGGCAACTATTCTTGTGCGTTGCTGTTGGTCTTTGGGCTGGCCTAATTATTGGTTTCGTAACCGAGTACTACACTAGCAATGCATACAGGTAGAAGTCTTGATGGCATTATTTTTTCTCCTTGATCGTCCTTTCTCTCATCATTGATTTTAAGAACATTCTTTATTTTCTTCTGCAGCCCTGTACAAGATGTTGCTGATTCCTGCAGGACTGGAGCTGCAACTAATGTTATTTTTGGCCTTGCATTGGGTTACAAGTCTTGCATTATTCCCATTTTTGCTATCGCTGTCAGTATTTTCGTTAGTTTTAGCTTTGCTTCTATGTATGGCATTGCTGTTGCTGCCCTCGGAATGCTAAGCACCATAGCTACTGGGTTGGCTATCGATGCATATGGTCCCATAAGCGATAACGCTGGAGGCATTGCTGAGATGGCTGGCATGAGCCACAGAATACGTCTTCTTTTATGTTGGTTTGACATAACGAGTTTGAACGCAGGTTTTGATTGGCACTGATGTTGCCTTGATCTAGTGAAGCAGGTTGGCCATTTTTTTTTCCAAACTACTTTCATTTGAGCATGCTGCATTTCTTTTGAGGGGTTTAACATTGGTTCAGCAGCCCTGGTTTCCCTTTCTCTCTTTGGTGCCTTTGTGAGCCGCGCTGCCATCTCAATGGTTGATGTATTGACCCCTAAAGTTTTTATCGGTTTGCTTGTTGGGGCAATGCTTCCTTATTGGTTCTCTGCTATGACCATGAAGAGTGTGCGAAGTGCAGCTCTGAAGATGGTCGAAGAAGTGCGCAGACAGTTCAACTCAATCCCTGGTCTCATGGAAGGCACTGCTAAGCCTGACTAGGCTACCTGTGTAAAGATCTCGACCGACGACTCCATCAAAGAAATGATCCCCCCGGGTGCTCTTGTTATTCTCACACCCCTTGTTGGGATCTTTTTCGGCGTGGAAACTCTCTCAGGTGTCCTTGCAGGGAGTGTGCGAAGTGCAGCTCTGAAGATGGTCGAAGAAGTGCGCACAGTTCAACTCAATCCCTGGTCTCATGGAAGGCACTGCTAAGCCTGACTAGGCTACCTGTGTAAAGATCTCGACCGACGACTCCATCAAAGAAATGATCCCCCCGGGTGCTCTTGTTATTCTCACACCCCTTGTTGGGATCTTTTTCGGCGTGGAAACTCTCTCAGGTGTCCTTGCAGGGTCCCTTGTCTCCGGTGTCCAGGTAATGTTAAATTCAAACACATTGCCTGAGATGTTTCCTACCGACAGTTTGTCATAACTGCCGTTTCGGTCTTGGTAATATTGCAGATTGCTATTTCTGCATCCAACACCGGGGGTGCTTGGGATAACGCCAAGAAGTATATTGAGGTATCTCCGATTTTTCTTATTTGATTTTCTATGATCCAGTCTTATGAAAAGTAATATCTATCTATTGATGCTCATGATTTTATGATGAAATGTAGGCTGGTGCTTCACCACATGCAAAATCCCTCGGCCCCAAAGGCTCAGATCCACACAAGGCAGCTGTTATCGGTGACACCATCGGGGACCCTCTAAAGGATACATCCGGCCCATCACTGAACATCCTCATCAAGCTAATGGCAGTCGAATCACTTGTCTTCGCTCCCTTCTTTGCCACACACGGTGGACTGCTTTTTAAGATATTTTAAGAGGACACAGCTGCTAATGGTCCAACCATTGCAGACATCCTTTTGAAGTATATTTAGTTGGTAGAACATTTTGCTCTTGAAATGGTCAAATCGGCAATGAAAATTTTTACTTTTTCTTCTATAAAATATGTTTCTTGTCATTTCCCAACTTTGTTTTCTCGCTTCGATATACATAATTTCGGAGTAATAATAATTATGAGTTAATTGCATAGGAGGTCTTTAAACTTTCACCTCATTCTAAATTAGTCTCTAAGCTTTAAAATATTTTATTTTAACCCTCAAACTATTAAAATCATTCTAATCGAGTCCTTTCATTTTTTTGGGTTAGATGTGGGTGACGACTGACGACACACGCATTAAGTTTTTTTTATAAAATAACTTAAAACAACTTTAATTACGTCTATTTTAAGTAATTTCAACAAGATTTGAGTTCAGTAGTATCAAATTTTAGTTGAATTATCTCATTCTCTAAAATATGTCTAATTAAAGGATAACACGTGTTATTAGTTGATTGGGACAATTATCGTCAACAACTTCTACTGGAAAAGTACAAAAAATAGAGAAGGATTTAATTGGAATGATGTTAATTGTTTGAGGACCAAAATAAAATATTTTGAAGTTAAGGGACATTTAAAATAGAGGTCATATTCTGGAAACCTTCTATGCAATTAACCCAATAATCATGATGATTAAACACGCAAATGAATTTGGAATAAAAATATTTTAAATTAAATATAAAAAATTTTAAATTTAAATATAATTAAAAATGTAAATGTTCGTTAATTTCTAAAATAGTAAAACACATTTCTAAATTTATTGAATCAAACTCGACCTTTAAACTCGTATATATTTATAGCGTCTTCTAATTCCAAACTTGATCAGGAAAACTTGATTCAACCCGGAGTTGTCGACAGCTACACCAAGCACACCGGAGTTGTCGACATTTTGATGATCAAATTAAAATTAAGAAAGTTAAAAAAAAAACCGTTTTAGTTATTTTTTAATCGTTGGTTTTAAAGATATGTCGTCGGAGATCGAGGTGGTGGAAGAGGTTCAGCCATTGAAACAATCGGGTGCCGTTTTAACGAATGGAATTGTATATGGGCAACCGTATGATGGGGTTGTTGGTGATCATAATTATTACGAGAGCTTGAGGACCGATATATATAGCGCTGCTGCTTATGGGGATTTGGAGACGCTTCAGAGGCTGGTTGAACACGAGGGTTGCTCTGTTTCCGTGCCTGATGCCCTTGGTTACTACGCCCTCCAGTGGGCCGCTTTGAATAATAGAACTGCCGTTGCCCATTATATCATTGAGGTTCTTTTTCTCTATTTTTTTTCTTTTGAGGTTGTTTGATGGATTTTCTGGATCGTCATTCTTTGTTAGAGTTGGAAGCATTTCATTTTAAATGTTTGAGTGTATTGGGATTTGGTGTCTGATATAATGGGGATGCTGAACTGGATTTTCGGAATGCATGCTCTTGCGAATTGAAAATAAATGCTATTGACGTGTTGGGTTTGAAGTTTTGATTTGGATTGAATTCGATTAAACTGAGTATTTTCCGGGTTTTCGTGATTTGCTAGCATGGTGGAGATGTTAATGCGAAAGATTACAGTGGGCAGACGGCCTTGCATTGGAGTGCAGTACGAGGTGCAATACAAGTTGCTGAGGTTTTACTCCAAGAGGGTGCTCGGGTGGATGCTGCAGACATCTATGGCTACCGGGTTAGTTTTTCTTCCATCCGGTTGAATTTAATGATGTTGTAACTACTTTTTATAAAACGTGAAATATGACATGTATGGCACCAGATTTTAAGACTCTGACCATATTAGGCAGCAAGATGTGTTATCTGCATCAAATGGGTTTCAACTTCTTAGGTTAATGCTAAAAAATATTCTTATATGTTTTTTGTTTTACAAGACAATCGTGGGATAATAATCAAACAGTTGAGTTGCTGTATTTCTTGATTTTATTTCAACCTCCAGGTGAAAACATTCTTATTTATTTTATTTTAATTTTCTGCAGATAACACATGTTGCTACACAATATGGTCAAACTGCTTTTCTCTATTATGTTGTTTCAAAATGGAATGCTGACCCTGATGTTCCTGATAATGAGGGACGGAGCCCTTTGCACTGGTACACGTGGAGTTCTACATACACCTTACACTTATTCACTTGAAATTTTGTTTTTGGTACTGGAAAATTGTTTGATGCACTTGCTGGTAAATAAGACTGCTTTCAGTTGGTGATTTTGTGATGTCTTGTGATGATGGTAATAACTAATAAGCTCCTGCATAGTCTTTACTTTGTGAATCTGAAGTTACAATCAGAATTTAACCTACTTGTGTAATTTTTATTGTTGCTGTTTTCATTCTGGAGGTGTCAAATAGTTTTGTTTGTTTGTGTTATTTTACCAAGTTTAACAAGTTTGCTTACATATTTTGATTACTTCATTTTATTTTGTTTACCTAGAATTGGTTGATTGTAGTAATGAAGTTTACAAGTGCTAGCTTTATTATTTTTATTCTGACTTCCTTTCAATATGGGCAACACTAGGGCTGCTTATAAAGGTTTTGTTGACTGCTTACGTCTTCTTTTATTTCTCGATGCACATAGAAGACGTCAAGACAAAGAAGGTAATTTTCTAAATCTCAGATTGAAAGTGCCATTTCTAGGGAATTTCCTCCGGATAATCTAGCCTAAACATTTTGTACTTGCGAATTATAAGACTGCATGCAAAATTTTGCTTAGTTAACCTTGATTTATCTTTATATCAGGTTGCACCCCTCTTCATTGGGCAGCTATTAAGGGTAATCTAGAAGCTTGCACAATCTTACTTCAGGCTAGCAAGGAGGGCTTGGGAGTCACTGATAATTCTGGCCTTACACCTGCACAGCTTGCTTCTGAAAAGAATAACAAAAAAGTTGCATTTTTACTTGTAGGTTCAATACCATTTTAACCTGGCTAATGATTGTTCTTTGATGAATAATCGTTATGTATTTTATTTATTTTTATTTTCATTCTTACACAGTTTAAGCGGCAAAAGTGGTTGAATAATGCAATGGAAAAAAAATTCTTCACATAGTGCAGTTGAACAATTATTTGCTTAAGTAGGGTGATTGCTACAGTGACCACCATAGGTTTCCAGGAGCACATGATGACCTCCATAGGTCTCCAGAAGTACTTGGCGACCTATGGAGTACTTGGCGACCTATGGAGCACTTGGCGACCTATGGAGCTGCAACAGCGAGGGAAGAGAGAAGAGTTGCTGCAACAGAGGAGGCTTTGTCGCAAGGAGCACTTGGCGACCTATGGAGCACTTGGCGACCTATGAAGCATTTGGTGACCAATGAGGTCACTGTAGCAAACACCCCAGTTCAATAAATAATTTGGTTAGAGCCCTAAATGGGGATTTTTTCCCCAACGCCCTACATGGGTGAGGAAGCCCAGTTTAAGCTCTTTGTTGCTAGTGTTGACTCATGAGTGCCTTAGGCTGAATGAAAGGCTTATCTTGCTTCATCTTCTGCCCACATAGAGATTGACGGGTTAATTACTGATAAGAACACCAAAAAGAAAGGGAAAAAATAACAATCATTACATAAAGGAGAAAATTGTATTATTTGTCCATTTTAATTTGTTCGGAGCAGCTTGGAATGATGATGCCATTTGCATACACAAACCCAAAATGTTCTTCCCCTTGTTTATGCTGCAACCAGGTTTATGGAGCTGGGAGTTCTCAAATAACTATTATTTTTGTTGTTGGATAGCTTAACCTTTTACCTTTCGTTGTATAGACTTAACATGATCGCACATTTGAAAATTTTGTGCCTTCACTATGAGAAATATTTAGAGGCAATTATAATTGATTTTGATTGGTCTTGTTAATTGTCTCATAAAAATCTGAAAAATTTCCCTAGAGGTGGCTTAATTAGTCTCCTAGATGCTCTCTTTTAATTGTGAAGATGATAACTTATGAAATCAACCAATTTATGCCCCAACTTATTTGTGTTTCTTAAACACCCAACTCTGCAGGGAAATGCTAGAAGGTTACACGAAAATCGCCGTGATGGGAACTGCAGCCTTGGACAACTTTCTAAGTTAGGATTTGCACCAATTCTTCTCAGCCTTAACTTGCTACTTCTGGGGGCCTATATTCAGTCTGTCATAATGGGTGTGTCTCTTGATCTCTTCAAGACTATGTTGCTCCAACTCTTCTTCTTGATGTACCCTTTCTGACATATTCGGGCATGGTTATGGGTATTTGACCCTCCAAATAAATAGAAAAAAATGAACATATTGCATATATACCTGAGTCCAAGTAACATATATTCATGAGAGTTAATTGTTCCATCAAGACTGTACCTGTCTCTCTTCATTACCTATTTATTTGTGACTTTGGACTTCCATTGCAGCATCAAATCTGCCCAAGTTGACTGCTCGATTTGCCTTTCTGGCATGGTTGGGTGTTTTCCTAGATTCTGCTAGTTTGGTTTGGTTTTATAGGTGTAGCAGGTATATTCTTTGACTGTGGACTTTTTTTCCATTCAAAAGTCTTTTAGGTTATTATGACACTGAATAAAGCTTTTTGGTGAGTTTCAGACTATAGAGATGTAAATGGAAACAATTGTTTTTGGAATCATTTTATGGTTGTAGTCAAAATGACTGACATATGTCTTATGGTACATTTTAGCGTGTGTGTTTTCTTCATGCACCTAATTTTCAAGTATTAGCAATCATATTCTTGGTTTTTTCCCATGCTTCTTTATGTCGCAAGAGGGGGAGGGGTATGGGGTGGTTTACTGTGAACGTGAGTAGTTATCGCAAGAAGTGGCATGTTGACTTGTATTCCTAGATTTACAAGGCCAGTGCCAACTGATCTAAAAGATAATACAGGGTACATCATTCTAAGTGAAGTGCATTTTGCCATTCCTTTCTCCTCTGCAGCAAGGATCCCGGTTTCATCAAGAGGAATGTCCATGATCATCAAGATATGAAAGATGATGTGCGTCCAGATTTCCTTATTAAGCTTAACTGGTTTTTGTTTGATGTTAATCTTTTACCTTTCTGAAATTTGATTACTGTCGTTATATATTTTGTTTCGTCAAATCTTGTACATATCGTGTTTTAAATGATTGATACAGTTTCTCACTCATTTATTCTTTATTTCTGCTAGGAACCTTTATTGAAGATTGAGGTAAATAATCCTGCTTTGCTAGCTGGAAATTGGTCTCAGCTTTGTACAACATGCAAGGTGCTTGCCAGTTCTATCATTTATTGTCCATCTGTTATTCGTTCGATAATTTCCTCTTTCTCTGATTGTTTTGTTATTTTATTATATCATCAGATTGTCAGGCCTCTTCGTGCCAAACACTGCTCCATTTGTGATCGTTGTGTCGAGCAATTTGACCATCATTGCCCTTGGGTAGCAAATTGTGTTGGCAAGGTGCTTTGTTTTCCACTGTTATTATTTTAATACTTTCTTTTGTTACATGTTTAACATTCTGTACTTCAATTATACAATCAAATTAAGGGGTTGAATGCTCGTATACTTTGACTTTTATCTTCAAAGATATAGAAAATTGGGTGAAGTGCGATTGGGTGTTGGTTACAATAATGCTCACAGGTTGAATTTCCCAAGTGGAAATAGAATAATATTTAATTATGATGAAGTCATGGTATCTGTTAATTAATTTCATTTGGTATCTCGTGATGCAGAAAAACAAATGGGAATTTTTTGTTTTCATTGTTTTAGAAGTTTCAGCGATGTCGATTACTGGTGGAGTCGCTATGACAAGTATGCCTTTTATTCGAATTCCAAGTTCAAACTATTTTCCAGTGTAACCATAGTAATCTTTTTCCTCCTTGAATGTCCAATGATTGCGTTCTTGTCATATTTAGGAATCTTGACGGATCCAATGGCTCCATCCGCCTTTTCACCATTGTTGAACCATGCTCGTACTCATCATATTGGTGCATTATCATTTTTGATTGCGGATGTTCTCCTCTTATTTGGAGCGGCAGCATTAACTATTTCACAGGCTTTTCAGGTATGCTTGATATTTCGTGACGTTTAGTTGTCTGTTTCTTGTTGGAATTACTTTCTATTGTTCCGATCTTGGCCTCAATCGAAAAATAGTATCAGCTTCTTGATGCTCTTTTAGATTAGTCCGACGCTCACACTGCTGAGTTTTGGGGAGTAAATTGCTCATCGTAAACTAGATTATTATGTCCAGTGACATCACAAGTGCAAGTTTAAGCTGCTGCTTCACCATAAATCTTAATCAAACTGCAACAGGAGTTTATTAGTGATTATGGATTGAGTGAATGTGTCTGTGCCTGCATTGAAAGGTATCGTTTAAAATGATCGTCTACCCTTTCCATGCCAATATGTATAATGAAGGCATTGTTTACCCCCAAGGGTTGAAATCTCAAGCCAACCTTCTGTCACATCATTTTCCCCCCAACATAATGTGGACTTCTGTCAGTACGCATGCTTACGCCGTTTCGTGTTTTGTTTGTTCCGACTATTCTTCTTTAAGTATTTATGTCCAACACGTGTCGGACATATATCTGGACATGGTAGGGGATGAAAACCTCTTAAGGGCCTTTCAAATACATAGATAGAAAATTTGAACATACATGGGTCCGACACTTACATTTGGTACCTTCTGTCTCCGATGTGTTGCTTACAGTTTAAGTTCTAGATAATTTTGCATATCTAACTCCCTTCTGTTGAACATGAACAATTACTACAGATATCTCGGAATATAACAACAAATGAAATGGCAAATATCATGCACTATAGTTACCTCAGGGGTGCTGATGGTCAATTTAGAAATCCCTATGATCATGGATGCTGGAAAAACTGTTCCGATTTTCTGATCAACGGCTACCATGAAGATGTGCCGGTTACTGAAGATTCAGTAGATTCCAAAGGAACTGGGTTGATACTAATGTCAATGGAACCGAACATGCATAACGACGATTTGCATGCTCCAGCGAACGGAAATGGCCATGTTATACATGTTAATTCTAGCAACACCAATGCACATCATGGCCTTGTTCATTCATTGCACTGCAGCCATTAACCATAGGCCGTGGCAAAGTGGAAAGCTGAGAACGAGCCTTTGGTATCGGATCTTGGTCGTGGATGGAGAAGCATCCGTACCACCGCAACTTTGCAATATATACATCCGGTTAAGTTCAAACTGATTATGTACATTGGATTATACAAGCTTACGTACATCCGGCTCCAGATTTTGTCGGTCACTCATCCTTTTTGTTATTTGTTTATGGGTGCCAAAGTCTTCCGAATTTTCGCTTTTTTTTCAATGGTTTTACAATCTGGGGTGCTTGAAAGTAATCCATTTGGGGTTGATGTAAAGTATGGAACGATGTAAATAGTCTCACTAAATTATTTTTTATTGAAATAATAGTTATTTTATTTTTTTATGAAATATATTGATTAGTTTGAATGATTGATAAAGTGGAAGCGAAAGCTGAAAAACAAATCAACAATCCTCAATCAATTATTCCAACAAACACACTCGAACCAATCCAGTAAAAGAACATCTGTCTTCTAAATTTCTTAATAAAAAATAAATAAGATATCAGATTCAGAAACTTGCACCTATAAATAACAAATTGATATGTTTAAAGCAAATATCAAATCTGTCAAATTATTACAATAATGGATTCACTGTGTATGTATATTTTTCTGCTTCTTTGAGGAAGGAAGCTGATGAAGGCAAAAGCAGAAACCGACTAGCAAAAATGAAATCCCTGCTGCTGCTGCTGCTTCGTGTCGTCCCCGAACTTCTATGGATAATTTTGAACCTATTTCTTGACAAAGGGAATTGATCAAACACTATTAAGAACTGTAACAGTCTCTACTTTGAATCTGAAAGTTCGAGGCTGATGCTTGATCTGAATGAAAAATAGAAAGAAAAACCTGCAGAGGAGACGGCCTGGAATTATTCCTGGCAATGAATGCTTAAAACGAATTGCATATGGTTTTCTCAGAACATGGTAATCGAGGTGAATAAACATGTAATTCAAAGTGACAGGCCAATAAAAGTGCATGTGATAATATTCATATTTTTTTCAGAGGTGAATTGCATCAAAATGTTCTGACAGGAGTGTGGTTTATTCTAAAGAATCAATCAGCTTACCTAAAAAAATTAGGACTACATAGATCTCACTTCAAGTAATAAGATGCACTTATACATGCTTCCATCCATGTGTTTCCCCGGAAATCTCACACAAAACAATATGCAACTCATGCAAGCTCCAATGCATGATAAATTTTTGAAACTCGCCGTCGAAGTAATGGCTCTAGTCGGAATGATGAAAACTTGCTCTGCCATTTTTTAGCTTCATACATCTCATTCCATGCCTGTATTATCTCGTCAATCTTAAACCCTAAACCTGCAACGACAGAAAGATGAGTTATGCTTCTATGATATATACAGATGTTATATGCTGATGCAAAGTTGTGAATTTCAAGCAGTAAGTTACCTTCCACTGCATTGTTATTTGAACAATGGTTCTTTACCATAACAGCTATATCCGTAGGAGAAGCTCCGGCATGTTCGAATTTCTCAACACCCACTTCCAAACATTCTTGCCAGACTGGTAGCCCTAGTTTGAATTCCATGATTGAACGTTCATAAAGTATGGTACCCCATAAAAGGTTTATTTGAGCACTCATGTTGACAGCCTGCTCAGCAGCCTCATCTGCTGATATATCTTTGAATAAACCATCCAATCCAATTTTCTGCATCTGGTTTTGTTCCTTCTTCGGTTCGGAAAGCTCACGAAGGCATTGCACTTTTAACTCCTCCCACAGAAGCATGCCCTTTTCCATATTTTCCTCGGCATTGTTATAAAGTTGCAGCACTTTCTCAGAAGGCCAAGTTTCGAGATCAACATTGTTACCAATTGCATAATACCAAGAAAGTTTTGCCTGCTCAAATTGTTGTTGCCCTAGAGCTAAATGAGCTTCATAGAAATCGGGTTTGGTTCTCAGGGCTTCCTCATACCTCTTTCCTGCTTTGGTATATTCCAATTGTGCCCACTCATAGGTAGTTTTGATCTGCTGGAGTACAGATTCTCTTGAGCCATCATCCGTGGTGTATACCCTCTTCCTTGCCCTGGACATATGAACATTTCCCCAGTTGAACAATGCCAATGTTGTCAACTCTTGAAATTTCTCAGCCGCCCTGCTGAAAAGGTCCTGGGCCTCCTCACTTGTAACTGTGTCCTCCATGGCCTCGGAATATTCCTTCATACCAAGTTCATGAAGATTCAAATATGCATCTGAATCAAAGCCGACATAGTTCTTGAACAAATGGCCGAACTCGATTATCCAGTCCTCTATGCAACATAAATCTTTTCTTGCTTCCTTAACTGTTTTGGCATCCCCATTGTCAACTGCCTTACCTTGTTTTACATCAAGATTGTGAACTTCCTCACGCTTGAATCTCTCAAAGAATGGATCCTGCTCAGAATTGACTTCTACAATGTACAGCCTCGGGGAACCCAGTGACACTGCCGATATTTCGGCCAATCTCAGATCTTCATCACTGGTGATTGTGACTAAATCGCCTTCTTCATCTCTGTATTTGATAAGAACTGCTCTCGAGCTAGGAAACCGATCATGAATAACTTCCCATAGTTGCAGAAGGCTGCAATTAAGTGGCAATCGAGCGCACCTTATATCTTCTCCGAAGATCAACTTCACAGTCTTCTTCGGTTCTTCTTCCATTTTATTGCTGATTACCTCCTCTACAACCAGTTTAACCTCAGCCTTCTTTTCATCTTTGCTTTTGTCAACCTTCTTCCCTGAACTTGGTCCACAGCATTGTTGTCTTCAACTTTATCGATCTTCTTCTTGTTCTTCTTCTTGGCTTTCTCTTTGACAAATTTTGAAGATTGCGAAGCACTTGGAGGTTCAACAACTTTCGGAGGCAATTCAATCACTGTGTCGTTCACCAGTAACCCTTTTTTCCCGAGTGCATTTCGTACTCTTTCCAAAATCTCTATCGCCATGATATTATTTGGCTCCATGTTGTGAACCGTATTGACATCTCTGAAAGCTAATTCAAACCGATTCAAAGCCTCGTAACACCTAGCCCTCTTCAGCAGGGCCTTAGTATTCTTAGGCATTACCTCCAAAGCCAAATTACATTGGTGGATTGCCCTGGGGTACTCGCTCAATCCCATCTGCATATAACATGCAGCCATATTGCTCCGAAGATGGCATACATCAACGTGATTCTTCGGAAGCAAATTGAGGGCCTTTTCGAATTTCAACATTGCTCCTTCATGATCCCTCCTCTGAAACAGTTTTTTCCCTTCTTCCTCCAATTCCTGAGACATGGAAATGAAAATCGCCATGTCCGAATTATGCGGTTTCGAACTGTTATCTCCGACTTTGCTATGCGTCACATTACTATAAACTGCTTTTCCTGTTTGCTTCTTATTCTTTACACTGTTCTTCCCCATTGCAAATCCAATAATTTCTCAAATATATTTTTTTAAACAAAGAGCCCTAAACCCTTTACCTAATTACGAAAAAAACCACTACCCCTTGAACTAAAGCCACACAATCACCAGAAAGTGAAAATTGGTTTTTCCCTTAGCTCACCCGGAAAATGAAAAAAAAAAATGTATCCCCTCCAAACCAGGAATTATCACTCCTCGAACAAAGAAAAAAAATCCCAATTCAGAGAGAAACAAAACAATCCCCAAATCCTAAACTTAAGCTAAAAAGATAAAACCTTCAAGAAAAAGAAAAGGATAAATTCAAGGCAGAGGAGATGGACTTATCTGGGAAATGAACTGAACGAGGTATAGAAAATTTCCTGAAAAAACTCAAAAAGAGGGAACTTTTCAATTAGAGAATCCCTTTGGAACCGAAAGAAAAACAGATCAGCCAACCTCTCTCTGTTTTGTTTTATATTAGCGGAATGCACATTAATAATTTAATCTTGTTTTATTGTTAAAATTTCAGGAAAAATACAATGGACCCTTTTTCAGTTTTTGTTTTGGGTAAAGTACACACATAGGTCCTTAAACTAGAATCAATCATTTTGGTCACTGAACTTTTAAAAATCCTATAATGATCTTTACATTTATCAAATAATTATTAAATAATCATTAAAATTTATTAAATTGCTAAAAAATAGTCATGGAATTTATCAAAATTTTACAAGTATTATAACATTATAGTGATCATTTTGTAATAGTTTGATTAATTAAATTATCATTGAGTAATTTTAAAATTTTAGTGATTAAAATAATCATTTGATCAAAATTTATGGACCTCTAACATATTTAAACTTTTTTTTTCACTGGGACTCCAAGTTTATTGGGGTCAAAGCCAAATTGTTTTGGTATCATAGGCAGATGAATTGTTCTGAGCTTAAAAGTAATTATTTAGTACTCCGTTTTCTTTCTCTCTAGTACACATATCATGATTATCATTCTTTTAATATAAAACCAATGATTAAATACTTAATGTTGATATTAGGTGATAATATCATCATAGTGTCATGATAATCCTAAATATTTTGTAGCCAATCACATTTAGAGGAGGTAAGTATTCATTTAAATCAAGTACAAAAATTGTATTAGTTTCGTTGACGAGTATTCTTTTATGATTCAAATTTTGTTTGAATTTTTTAATTGAGTAAAAAAATTTGAGTTAGTCGCATTGACGAGTTTTATTTTATGATTCAAATTGTAATTTGAGTCAAGTTAAGTTGTTGGAAATTCTCTTTAGGTTGAATTGGAATTATATTATGATATTATGGTGCATATTGGTTATAATTTAAATGATTTTCTTTAACCATTTAAGATATATATTCACATGTATAAACAAGATTCATAATGTATATATCAAATATCATCTAAAATTATAAAATATATTTATAATATTATTTAAAAAATAAGGGATTAATATATATATATATATATATATATATATATATTCACATGTATAAACAAGATTCGTAATGTATATATTAAATATATTCTAAAATTATGAAATATATTTATAATATTATTTTTAAAATAAGGAATTTTG